ATTTATCGGAGACTTCAACAAACATGGTTTTAAGTAATATGACAGGAATTGATATCAAGATATTAAATGTATTTCAAGAGAAAATTAACTTTACATACGATTTGGTTAACTGTAATGGAAATTGGGGCAGATTAAATGGCTTAAATAATTGGACCGGGATTATTGGCATGCTAAACAAATCGGTAAGTAAATTTTAGAATATGTACTGAATACTAACTAAAGTTAAATTAAGTAAATTAATAATTAATTATTTTGTAGCAAGCTGATATAGGCATCGGTTGTGTCACATTAGATTCAGAACGTGTCCAAGCAGTTGACTACACCTATCCGTATATCATTGATACATCTACTTTTTTAGCACCCAGGATAAAACAAAGATTTTTGTTTAATTTATTTAAAACATTCGATTCATTCACCTGGATATTTCTAGGTTTCACACTACTTTTTCTGACATTAGTACTATATTTTATGTATAATAAAAATGGAAAATCAGCATTATCATTTTATTGGATTCTCACTACAATACTTTTGCAACAACCCATTACTATTAAGCTGCAGCTGCACAAATTAATAATATCAACATGGCTATTAGCGAGCCTCGTGATAGCAACTAGTTATGCTGGGTGCATTTATTCATTAAAATTTTTGTTTAATTTATTTAAAACATTCGATTCATTCACCTGGATATTTCTAGGTTTCACACTACTTTTTCTGACATTAGTATTATATTTTATGTATAATAAAAATGGAAAATCAGCATTATCATTTGATTGGATCCTCACTACAATACTTTTGCAACAACCCATTACTATTAAGCTGCAGCTGCACAAATTAATAATATCAACATGGCTATTAGCGAGCCTCGTGATAGCAACTAGTTATGCTGGGTGCATTTATTCATTAATAACTTTGTCAAACAATAAAAATATCGACACTTTTACTGAGCTCATTAAGGCAGTTAGAGATAACCAGGTAACATTGTTACTCTATAATGGTTCACCATTTAACAATTATTTAAAGGTAATTAATTTAATGTTTAAGCTCGGTAAAATTGATTAGTGTTGTAATTCTTAAAAGATTTGTATCATCTGTATTGTATTCTATGTATAATTTCTATGGTAAGTGCAATACAAATGATACAAACCTTTCAGGGGTTACAACACAAATCATGTTTTTAGATTTCATTTTTAAACACTGTATGCATCATTGCATAATTATATCTCAAAATTACCTAGGATCATAATTTTCTCGAATTGTTTGGCTCAAAACTCGATGGATTAGAATATGGAAATATTTTTAAATACATATTAAATGCACCTGGATTATATACGTACATTGAATTCCGAAATCAATTACAGTATTGGGTCAACAAATACCAAACAAAGCGCTTTTACGTACCGACCCCTGGATTAGACTCCACTTTCTCAGTGGCCATGAATTCAATTGTATTGCGAAAACACTAATTGAATTTCGAAATCAATTACAGTATTGGGTCAACAAATACCAAACAAAGCGCTTTTACGTACCGACCCCTGGATTAGACTCCACTTTCTCAGTGGCCATGAATTCAATTGTATTGCGAAAACACTTTGAGTTCAAACTAAAATTTAACCAAATGTACGTGGTGCCTATTTGATGTATAATTAAATTTATAATAATTATTACTCTAGTCTGGCTCATTTAACAAATGCGGGACTAATAGAGCACTGGTATCAATCCTTGCTAATTAAAACAAAATCATGTGCCACTAATCAAAATGATAAAACATGGCACCACTTGAAACTGGAACAATTTAACACAATATTCATAGCATATTCATTTGGTATTTTATTATCAATTACAATATATTTATTAGAATTCTTATCAAGTTTAATTGAAAATTTGTTAAGTGTATTTATTTACACACACTACCGTAAAAGTAAATAAATGAATTAAAATAAATTTTATAAATGTCAATTTTGCATGCTTAAAAACTATTTATTTGACGTTTTACAAAAAAATATTTAAATTTTTAAAAAATATTTAAATTTTTAAAAAATATTTAAATTTTTAAAAAATAACAAATTTTTGAGCATAGTTAATTTAATTTAATTGAAATAAGGAGGGTAGTTGTAGATAATGCCACCATCAACCACTAGATTAACCCCGGTAATATAATCGGCATCACTCGATGACAGGAATATCACACCTTTGGCCACATCCAGGGGTACACCTAATCGAGCCAATGGTGCTTTTGACTGCATGTGAGCTAGAATAGGGTTACCATCGGGCTGTCCGTCCGGAGTAATAGCACCCACACTATTTGCAACGCACAAACATTTATTAATGCAATCTCTAAATATGACCATGGTACAACTTACTTGACTGTGTTGACTCGGATTTGTTTGGATCCCAACTCGAGCGCCAGTATTCTGATCAAATGTTCAGTACCTGCTTTGGCGGTACTGTAGGCCAACTCCACGGCCACCTAATAATAAAATAATGAAAACATTAATATTAGGTTTCGCGAAAAGTTTTGCGAGGTAAACTTTGAAGCTTAATTCTCAACAACCAATATAGATATCAAAAATATTTTTGAACCTCAACTATGGTTTTTGTTTGTATGTATTCCCCCAAAGAG